TGTATGAACAACATTTTTTTTTTTGGACAGAGCTTGGGGGGGGGGGGGTTACCCCCAAAACAACCGTCTGGATCCGTGCCTGTTTCCTCGATTTTTGAATCCTCCGAGAAATAGATTTGTTTCTAGGGCTACAAAGGTTATTTACTTGTGAATGAGACGCCGACCGAAACAATCGGCCGTTCTGCATTGCTCCGAGGAATAGAATAGAATAGATAACAAACATTCATTCTTTTGTTTGTGAAATATGCTTCATAACCCGGTACTGCTGACATGTTCTGCTTGTTTCTTATTTAATTGGCCTGATATTTATTCGTTTCTTGCGGTGTAGACTGCATGTGTCCCAACCTCCGTTTTTTAGTCTACATAATATAGGACACCGGAACCAGTCTACCAGCAGCAGTGTAGCCAGGGGTCTCACCATTTTTTTTGGGGGGGGGGGGGCTGCAAGATGTTGCAGTGGGAGGGAGGGAGGAGCCATTTCTGTTATACATCAGGCCCAAAAAAGTCTCCGATTTCTGGTATGGAGCTTGCCCCAAAAGTAGTGCGGCGACTCGGGTTTTTTTTTTTTTTTTTTTTTTTTTAACCGTTTCTTATACTTCAAATGTCGGCTGATGACAACAAATGGAGCCCGACTAAACTTAGTGCAAATATATGGGAGTCCAGAGAGGCCACATAAAGCGTATGCTCGATCAGCAGGATTTCAGTCATACCAGTGAGTTTGGCGGTTTTGAGACATCATTTTGCCGACGCGCACGGCTACGGCAACGCGCGTGCGTACCGGAAACCGGAGACTTGTTGGGGGTGGGGGGTGGGGGGGGGTGTCTACCAGCAAGGTGGATTAGATACATCTTTACATCAAATTAAAGCAGCCACATAAATTAGAATAAAAAATGGATTATTTTACAAGAGCTACAATAGACGACAAGACTGTTGTAAAATCGATTTACTCATCCTCTTCCTCTTAATGGAAAGGACAACTACAGCACCCTAGCATTAAATAAACACCCTCCCCCCCCCGATCTCGAGCCGCCTTAGCATATATTTGGGGTTCGGGATCCGCCGTGGGCTGCCCTAGGGTGGTTAGGAGGTGGAAGGGATGATGGGAGCGGGGGTTCCTAGGTGGATTCGTGCTTAGGCCACTGAAGGTTGGGGTTTTGTTAAGGAAAGAAGACTGTTTCACATGGTTGGATCGAAACAGTTAAGTTTGGGAATGGATTTGGTTGGGCGAGGGTCAAGAATGGGTTGGCATATTTCTGTTTTTGGTTTTGGTATAGGTTGGGCTCAATAAGCGTGGAGGGGGTTCTGCAGGTGCAATGTCAATTGCATGCCGAGAAGTTGGTCTGGCCGAGCGCGCGTTTAACTTGTGGATGGGGATAGATGAATGGTTATAATTAAGTTGCCTTTGGGAACGGCTGGGTTCTGCCAAATCAGTATCCTTTCAGGGCGGCAATTGTACATGGACCGGATAATGCACACAATATATTCAAGTTCTCATTACTTTTTGGAAAAGCTGAATTCATTTCATCTCCGTTTTTTTTATCACAAATATAGACTGCGTAAGAATACTAGCCACCAAATGCGTGGCTTCATTTAATAACACAAAGCGCAAAACAAACACTGATTGAATCACGTATGGCCGGTGTACGTCATTATTCTATTCACCAATCAGAGTTAGTCACCCAACAAGTCGGTGACCACAAGTGAGTGGTCTGTGATTGACAGGTGCCAATCACAATCAACGTGTTTGAATGTGTCACCGACATCCATACGATCATTCCAACAATTAGATGCGTCTATTTGAGTGTCGGTGATACAAGCTTCGGGTTGAACGTGTGGCAATGTAACATTAACATCATTTCCGTCTCACAAATATGGAGCGAGTCGGTGATATGTGATTGACAGCGCGCAGGGGCCAATCACCAACCGGGCATGCAAGTTCCTCAGTCACTGCTCGGGAAATCGACGTCAATATTTAAGTCACAAGCTGCCGGCTCACTCCTCACAACGACCGCAGCTCATGTCCACGTTCAGACGACAACCCGACAGAACTGTTTGCAAGATCAAACGAGAATTGCACGGTGAGTGTTTGAAACAGTCTTTTACGATAATTCTGCAAACTTTGGGATGGATCTTTTGTGATATATGATATTGACACAATATGCTTATAGCCAAAACAGTGCGCTGTAAATATTTCCGACCATGATGATTCCATTTCTATACGGTTATTCCATAACTTATCATGCGATATTGGTGCTTGAATCATAACCAGGTTTTATGTTGCATAGACTACAGCTGAATAAGCGCTAGTCTGAAAAGTTGATGCGGATTCAGACCAAAATTTTGTGAGGCCAAAATCAGGCAATAATATAGCTAAGAGCAAATACATGTATATAGTCACGATTTTTTTTATTTGTTCGGGATTCCTGTCTGACAATATTTCAGCTCCTACATACATAGTGCACCCTTGACGCATTTTAATTGCCTTGAATACTGAATAGTGAAAAAAAACCTATAAATTCATGGACGTTTTATACTTTTTATTGTCATTCAGATTCGCCAGTTTTCCCGTCAAACCTGGTTGTAGGTTTTGCAAGAGTGTATTACATCAAGTTCCTTATTGTTATTGAAGTTCATGCACTTTCACAATTTTGTCAGATGATCAATTTAATTCTTTTCGTTTTTAACGAAAGAAATTTTGCGAAAGCTCGACCGCCCATAATATCAGTATGATCAATCACCTCCTTTATTTTCTAGCTAGTGTTCCCTGTTTATTGTCAAACCTGAAATCCCGATGCGATGCGCTCACCTTTCCCCCCGGAAATCACTCTAGCTAATACAGGATAAAAGGTTATGCGGAAGTTGGCCACGGAAAAACGTTTAAAGGAAATCGTGACATCACTTCAAACTCAGTGGCGTAACCCGTGGCGTAACTAGTCTGCAACGATAGGTCTAAGCGTTACTTTCAAGCGTTGCAGGATAAAAGTGTCAAATGTCAGAATAGACTTTAGGGCGCAAATACGAACAAATCGGATCATGATCACACACATTTTATTCATGTTTAAATTGCCCCCCGGACATGCAAACAAAACAGAAACAGGAGACAAAAAAAGGATACAAAGAAAAAGAAGAAAGAGGTGCGAACATCGTATTGCTGTTAATGTAATTGGTTGGGGTGCAAATGTCCCTGGACACCCTAAAAAAATTATCAATCGGGAAAATGATCGGGGGGGGGGGGGGGGGAGGGGGATGTGATTTGTCCTCTACACTCAAAAAAATCCTCGCGACGCCCATGGCTGGATACATTTGTAGAATCATGTTAAGAGTTGAGGTTGCACAAATTATTCGAGCGTCCATTTAGATTTTGCATCTTCCCTTTAAAAAAAAGCAGATTTCTTTTCGTAATTTTACTGGGTTCTTTATATTGGTTAATGAGGAAACACGCACGAGATATTTTCTTTCATGTTTACGTACATACAATCAGTTTCGTAAAACAAACCCCCCAAAATGACAGAACTAAAAGAACTAAAAGAGAGATATGCATGCAAACTATAGAAAATTGATTGAAGACTGCATTAACCGTTTATCGTGTTGGCGATAACAAAAGAAATTTGATTGATTTTGAGTATCTTTTTAATTATCTTTTTATTTCAACAGAGTGATGACAACAATTAACAAACTGGTTAATATGGTCTAAATATGAAAAAAAGGATTTGTTTTGCACAATAAACCTCATTTTGGGCGTGTGCTCAAAATGTCATTCTTTCTATAATCTAGCCACCTAACAATGTTCCTGTCATGTTTCCTTCCCTGACAATTATAACAAAAGTGTGTAAATTGCTTCTTGAAATTTTATCAAAGTCATGTCATTTTATCATTTGTTTTAACACTGCCACATAATATTTTCAAGGGCGAATACAGAGAGTTTATTGCCGGGCGAAGTTTGAGCCGGGAGAAAGGGTAAGGGTGGAACGGCTCTCTTAATCGAAATTTGCCTTTTTTTGATAAATATTCGGTCACTGCCGGGGGAGGGCACCCCCTCCGCACCCCTAGAGCCAATACTGATCTGGTTAAACTGCCGAATTTTATTAAACATGAATGACTTTTAAAGCAAGCATGAAGTTGAATTCCCAAGCTGGACTGAATCTAAAGCACAATAAATTCAATGCAAATACGTCAATTGCCTACTTTTTTAAGCGTATAGGGGAGATACCCTTAAATAATTTGATCGTTCGCTAAATTCAACTGGGTTTGAGAATGCTTACGGGTTTGTATGCGAATTTGAAAAAAAGTGTTTACACATTGAATGAGCAAGGTGTGAAATTGGACGGGAAAAACATATTTAAATGAAAAATATGCTGTTTTCAAAACTGAGATAATTATGCTTTCAAAAATGATTCAATGACTTAGTAGTGCTTAAAAAAAACACAGATTTTTTTTGTATAGTTAATTTAAATAAACTGTATAATGAATTTGAATAAAGGCTTTCATAAAACGGTTTGAATCAATAAATTGAATAATTGTTCCTGGTTTCGAATGATTATTGATCAAAGTGAAAAAAAAACCAAGTTGCATTAAAATCAATGATTAAAGTATTTCTTTCTTTACTTAAGCATAAACGTTACCAGTTTTCTTTGTTTATTACTTTTCAGCTTACAGTGAACTCCTTTTGATCTCTTCTTGGACCTGATCTTCAAGACTTCAAGACCGAACCATCGAGGTCGGTGTGATGATGTTTAATTGATTCTATCATGACCGTGGAAAGGGCGTGCCGTCCCCCCCCCAAAAAAAAAAAAAAACTGACGTAATTCGGTCTCCTTTCCTAACTTTTATCGGTGGGCAAAACAATAATACTAACAAGTTTGGATTGCCCGTAGTTGCCATGGCAACATATTTAAAAAGAAACCATTTTTTTATTTACATGTTATGTCTCGTATACAAATTCTTCAGTTTATGTAGTGATTTTGTTTGTTATTTTAGGCCTTGAATTGTTTTCTTTTCAGATGAAAATCTGCGCGGCCAACATTCTGTCAATCGCCCTCCTTCTAAGTAACTCTGTCAAGCTCCAAGCTTCCGATTATACTGGGCCGGTTCCCTCGGACGGTGATGGTCCTGCGTCTCAGTTGTGTCAGCAGTGCTGCCAGGGACCTGTAGCAATACCCGGCATACCAGGTCTGCCTGGGCCAGCAGGACCGATGGGGCCGTACGGTCTGTCGGGGTCAAAGGGCAGTGCAGGTCAGCAAGGTCACAAAGGTGAAATTGGCCCTATTGGACCTATGGGTGAGCGGGGAGCACCTGGGAACACTGGGTCTAAAGGTGACGATGGGATTGGTCTGCCCGGCAAGATAGGTCCGAGAGGCCCACCGGGTCTTGTTGGAGCAGCCGGTCAGGCTGGTGTCAAAGGTCAGAAGGGTGAGCCAGGGGAGACACCAGACGACTCTAGTCAGCGGGTGGCATTCACCGTGGTGAGGACGAGCAGCTCGGATGACTCTACGAGTCACGACACCCTTTTGCCCTTCCAGCAGACCAAGACCCTTCTGCCGGGTACCCGCTTCGATCTCGAGACCGGCACGTTCACATGTAGTGTGCCGGGCACCTACGTATTTACGTTTTCTGTTCTTAAGTTTAGCCTGAGCGGTAGCCTTTACATCCATCTTGTTAAAAACAACTCCAAGGTTATCAGTACCCATGGTACATCTGGTCAACTTGGTCAGTTGTCTGGGAGCGCAGTTATGATCCTGCGGCGAGGAGACTCGGTGTATGTTACTATGTACGGTAGGGCGCATAGTGAATCCACCCGTCACTACACCTCATTCAGTGGCTTCCTCCTTTACCCCGAATAAATAAATAATTAACTTAATAAAATTAAATCACAACGCATAAAATTTATACAGGAGCAGTGCTGCCCCTTTGTGTTTCGCTTTCCATTTTGCTAAAACAGTATTAACCAATGAATTAAAGAAAGTTCAATGTCATGATAATAAGAAAGATAATTGATTCTTAATACATAACATTTTACATTAAAGTATCGAAACGCTTTACAATACATCAAAAACTACATAAAAACAGTTAATCAAAAAGTAGTTAAATATATGACTTTTTAAAAAGAATGTATTAGCTTCGATAAAAAAACCTCAAAAATCTGTATTTTTGGCTCGAATAACGTGGAAGTCTGCACGGTCACCGTTCGGAACTTTAGGAAGGTAGAACTGAACCCCATGACAGATTTTAGTGCGAATGTTAAACGCATGAACTGATATTTACTCTGTGAGGTACTGTACTGCTGACATACCATGGCGGATAATTTTGAAAAGTACCGAAGAATCTTGAATTCAACCCGCACCGTAACCGAGAGCTGAAGCATGGTTGTCATGTCTGCAAGATGACCCTTCCTTGATTTGTTTGTTCTGGCAATCGTACGGAAAAAAAAAAAAAAACTTTCACAATAATCTGTCTTGGAAGTAACAAAATGCATGTATTAAAAAAATCCGACTTTGTTTTTTTAATTTAGAATGTTTTTTTTTTTTTGCATTGCGCATACAGAAATATATTAAATGAAATCGGGTGATGTCATTTATTTATCTTGGGAAAGATTTTGTTCTTGAAAAAAAAAGAGTTTCAGTTGCACCACAGGAAACAAGAACTCTAAAACTGTTTTAAACAATATGTTTTATATCCCATGTTAAACATGTGTAATTAAGTGTTTATTTTATGTTCAAACTTGAGTTATAGAGCTTTCACTAAAATGAAATTGTTAACAATTTAATGAAATTATAATTGATAATGTGATACTATCAGCGAATCACGAAGTTATAATTCAGTGATAGGATAAATTTGATTCTAAGAAACGTTTTGTTTTTCTTTCAAGTTTACATTTAAGGATATTGCTCTGTTAAACAGCTTGAGCAGGCCCGAATTAAGTGTTTCGTAGGCCCAAGGCACCAGTGTTCCAAAGAATGGAGAAGGAGGGGAAAGGAAGAGGGAATAAGAACAAAGTGAAACATGTAAATAATAAACACCGCTGCTCAAACTCAGCATAGCTAAAATCAGGTTCTGCAACCCATGGCAAAAGATTGTACATTCTGTCATGTCGGCGCAAGCTGCCGCGTGAAGTCTCTTCAAATACGGGCGTTGACAGCTACAGCTGTGCAAAACAAAAGCACGTGCTCGCTCACAGGCAGTTACGAATTGAGCTGATTTTTATGAGTGACTACTCAAAATAACGAGGGCATATTTTGATAGAGAGTCAAGCTACAATTTTGATATTTGCGGCACAGAGCATTTGCAATCCAAAAATTTCCCGGGGCTCTTAAGCGCCCCAGACCCCACACCTTCAGGGCATTGCGCTCGCATATAAATAATTCCTCTATATAGGATTAAAAGACGCCCCCTCCCTGCAGTCTGGGATTAGGGAACAGGCCCGAACAAGGTATGCGCAAAGGTACTGAGCATGTACTGTACATGCAGTTTTGCAACAATGAAATAAAAACATCATAGCTGGATTGAATTTTGTATTTTCCAGCAGTTTTAACAATTAATTTCGAACGATTACAGTACAATTGCAAGCTCTCAATATAACAATATACCAATTCTTGCAATTGTTCTCCGATAGAAAAGAAAGATAATAAAACAAATAGTTATGTGGCGATAGCCAAGTCTTCAGGAGTTGGACTTATGACCCTAACTCAATGAGCCCCTTACCAACTTACCAACTCGGTACCCGGCCCACCGCACCTCCTTCCCTGTCCATCCATGTAACTCGAAAGTCAGGCACCATAAAGGGAGGAAACGAGGTGGCACGTACCCTAAGCCTTGCTGCCGAGTCAGCAAAAGAACCCCGTACCTATACACAGATGCCAACCTAAAAATTCGCCACAGTCCCAACTTGTGAGTCAGCTTTATACCGACCGACCGAGCTAGCTAACTGCTGTTGGTAAATGACGACGGGAAATTAATACTCTTAAATGACAGAAGCGCGGGCATCGAAAACCAAAAATTGACAATAAGCAGGTTCGAACCCCTAACCCTGTATCCTGTCAGACAGCTTAACAACTAGGCTATTTCAGTAGGTGCTTTTCTCGTTGAGTTTAAAACATAATCCTTATTTCCGCAGTGGGAGCGTTACTTTGTGTTTCATAGCTGCACAAAAGGTGCATCAGCATCGCACTATACACATGAATTCTTTTTTACATTAATTCTTATGTACCAACAATTAACCTTACCAAGCTCATCCTTAGTTATTCTGTCCCATCAATAGTTTCGCGTCGGGCGTCTTTCGGCCGGCACTGACATTGCGCTGATTGAGTGAAATTCTAGCAAGGTTTCCCCACCTCATTATATTTATATCAAACTACTGACCCGTTAACAAATAATAGGTTTTCCCGGTGGATTTCAGAATTTTTCTAATCAGTTTCATCATCAGCCATTCAATTTCGCGTGAGTTTTCTACATGTGGTCAAATCAGGTTTCTTGTTCACTTTGGTTTCATTCAATTTAATTTTTAGGCATCCACGATTTTAATCTGAATGTTCGTTTTCGTTTTGGGGCATTCTGTTTTGTTTTGGTGCATTCAAGACTGAATTTGTAGCAGTCTTAAATTAACTCTTTGCAACCTTTTGGCAGTAGAGGCATTCAAATTAGCGAACATCTGTGCACTTATAACGTATAACCATGCATAAAAGGCATCTAAGGATTGAAGACATCAAATATGATTTATGCTAAGGAATACGGAAACGTATGAAGTCATAAAAGATGTTTGACAAAATGTGTAATATGCCCATTAATCAAAACGAATGCCCGGTCAACCCCTTCCTGCTGGTTTAGACAAATTGAATGAACAACGCGATACTTTTAATATAAATGCATCTTTGATAGGGACGAGCGAAGCTAAAAGGCGATAGAATGCTCTGATAGTGAAATTGAATGATTCTTTTTGATTGGGAAATGCAGATCTCCGTGATCTTTCAATTTCAATCTAAATTGATTGAGCCAGGCGGTAATTGATAAAAAAAATGGCAAAAAGTGGCCGGGAAAACCTATATTTACTAGGAAATTGTGTTTGTCTGACTCTAATTCAGCTCCCTTGGCCAGCTAGCTTCCCTTTTCTTGTACATACACTAAGTCTCGGATGCCATTATAATACAATGTCACGTTAACGTCAGTCGGTTGCATGATTAGAATCGTGACCCCGCTAGTGCAATGACGTCCAGTGGCGTAAAGCTTTTTCCGGCGAGGGGGGGGGGGGGTGCGCTAGGGGGATGGGGGATGACCAAAATAGTAAAATTCGGGCGATTCGCAATGCAGTGCGCCACCAAGAGTTTGCCACGGAGAGGCCTTTTTTCAAATTTACGGTCGACCAAACAAGGCCCATTTGAATGAGTGTCATTACACAACTTTAGCTAATTGGTTATGAATTTGGGTATAGCGTTCTGCCGCCTTACTAAAAACAACATTTTGATAAAAACAAATTCTGCCTTCACCAAGAATAAATTTTGCCTTCACCAGAAAGAATCATTTTGCTTCGAGCAAATTTAGATTTTCATTTTTGAGATGTAAACTCATTAAGAGAATGTCACTCATCACACCCACGCCAAAAATGTGTGCTTCACAGTGCTCCTAAAAGTATCATCGCTGATTTGTAAACATCAGGCCATCATTCTGAAAAGATAAAGAATAGGATTTTTCTGTCTCCTCCTTCGTTTATAATACAGACGAAATTCAATAAGAATGTTAGATGTGTTTTGGTTTTTCTGCATCTGCCATGGATCAACCAACCCCTGTCGAATTTAAAAAGAAAGAAAGAAAGAAGATATCTTACCAGTGTGAGAACAATACAAGAAGTTTGTAATGGGGCTGCCGTCCACTGCGTATCCTGCTGGAAAGAGTCCGGTGCCACGTGATGAACTTTGTGAGGCCGGCTTGCCAAAGATACAGAACGGCACTGGAAATGTTTGAAAACAATTTCAGACGGAACACGTCAAATCAAAATTGTGATTAGACGTGGTATATTGTTGGTAATATTTCAATCGAGATGTTTAGGCTTTTAAACTGTATGCGAAACCTTTGAACAAAATTCTTTACTTTTTTTCAATTATGGTTCTTTTTGGCGGCGGGATACCGGGAGTAGGGTTTGAGCCAGGGGGTGAGAAGCGCTATCCCAAAAGCAACAGATTGAACATATGAGTTGCAAACACAATTCGGTCTTATAACTCTTTTAGAAAAAAGAACCAAGTTTAGTTTAGAAAACGCATCTGCTGTAGCTTCATTTAAGGATCACCTGTGCGGCTCTTTTTAGACACTTATTGAGAATGCTGCCTTGAAATATGTACCTTCTTCCCCATACAGTACAACAGTATTCTCAAGTTGGAATAACTAAGTTTACACAAAGTGTGTGCAGGGTGCTTTGTGTATCATAGTCTCAAATTCTGTTTAACATACCAAGTTTATATGAAATTGATTTCCTTACATATTCAACGTGAGTGACCCAACTTAATGTTTTATCACTAGTAACTTTCCAGCATTTACAACACTTTGCTTTAACAATAAGAGTATCAGCAATGTAAACTGTCCTATGTTGGAGATGTGCTGCCTTGAACCAATAAGCATGTATTTTGTTTTGTTGTCGTTTAGTGCAAATTTGTTTCTTATGCACCAATTGTGAAATTTTATCAAGAGATGTATTCAGAATTCCTTTCTATATTAAACACTGGAAGAGCTACACGTTAAATTGATGAGCGTACATTTCATGAAGTTACTTATTGTCACAGTTACGCTAATAAAGCTGAATCGAAAGATCATGTGAACAATCTAACATCAAGATATGTAGCCCAAGGAGAAGAGGTGT